ATGGCTTGGATTGGAAGGGACCTTACAGCTCATCCACTTCCAACCCCCTCCACGGGCAGGGATATCCCTTCTCATCACCCCGAAAGGTTAAGTACATACGTGGGTAACGTGTAATGGATCATCTGGGCGCTGGCACATGTCCCTCCCGTGGCATCAGCTCCCTATTAGAGCTTTCCCCCCACCATTGCATAAGGAGCTCTCGGTGACTCATGGGTTTAGGGGGGGGAGAAGCGAGCGGCGGCTCGGAGGCGGCCGCCTGCGTGTGTGAGGTGTGAAAATCAATGCTCAGGTGCTTGGGGTTTGTGTTTGCTGCCGAGCAAACCCTGCTCCCAGCCACTGCTGCCTTCCCCCATGGCCGCACCAGCACCACGGCTTGAGGTGCTTGGCTCTGCGCCCTCCAACGAGCTCCCCGTCCACCCCACATCGCCTCGTGTTGTGGGTTTGGTTCCTGTCCTTGTCCTTGTGGCTCTGCCTGTGACCCGCTGGTGCCAAGAACAGACCCCACATCAAACCACCACGGTGTCAACAGCAATGAGCATTGGTGGCTGAGGCCGTAATCAGGATCATAACCCCCATTAGGGTGATAAGGGAGAGCACACAGGGCTGCTGATGTGGTAATGCCGTGAATCCGCTTTGATTCATGGACCACTGATGCACTCGCTGTTTGCCATCCCTGGCATCAGCAGAGCCCCTGCTTGTGGCTGCCATCGTGCCTCGTGATCCCAAGCTTGGAAACTTGCCTTTCCAACATGAATTATTGGGACTTTGGAGATGTGGGTGCCTGGTGTCCCCGCTGCTCGGTGCAGCCTCACCCTGCCCCAAAGCTGAAAGGAAACATCAAGGCAGATGTTATCAAGTAGGGGAAATTCCTGCTCTGCCCCATCCTGCTGCTTTGTCTCGCAGACACTGAGTGTGGGGATGGCTGGGAACGCCGGCAGCATTCAAGTAGCTGTTTAGGAGCAAAGCTCCAAATCAATCTGTAACTGGGGCCCCATCGATCCGTGGCTGCACCGCTGCAGCTCTCCGCTGTGTTCTGATCCGCTTTACCAGTCACAGATGACAAAGTCCCAGCAGTTGGGGGTAGCCAATGGTGCCAAGCACTTCTCAGGTGAATACTATGGGATTTTTCCCTTAATAAACCCACAACAGTTTACAGCTGCACGTGGGGGACCGGAGCAGCATCCGCAGCAGGGATGCTGTTGCCTCTCTGCTGAGATGCTGGAGTGATGCTCCAGCACCCAAAAACCTGCCAGCAGAGCCCTGCTGCAGGTCCAATGGCTATGGAAATGCCTCCAGCAATGGGGCTGTGTGCGTTATGGGGGACGATATCCAACCATGTGCCACGGGGCTGGGTTCTGGTAAGCCTTAGCCGAATTGGGTTTGCTCTGAAAGGAGATGGAGGTTGGTTGAAAGCCGGCGTGTTTGTGGGAAAACATTGATTTCACCAGATTTCTGTTTCAACATGTTTTGTGGAAGCAAAAGGAAAGCTTTCCAAATTCTCCCAAGACCCCGGCTGAGCACTTTCTCAGCAGAGCAGAATCCATTTCTCCGCTCCAAATGACTTCCTTTTGCAATGTAAGTGAATGTGTTGCAACATCCCCCGTTGAAAGGGGGCTGCAATCCTGCTGCAGAGGGCAGGGAGGATCTCAGGGGCTGGGATTAACTCGTTCTGGCCTGGGGTCCGCATTGTCAAAGTCCTGTTCCCTTCCTTTCTGAATGGTTTCCTGGTGTGGAAATTGCTTCGTCTATAAGCAGCAAATACAAAGGGCAGGCAGGGGAGCCTACATAGAGGCAGAATAGCTCCTTTTTGTGCTATTTTCTCTGATAAACCCTACTTCTGCAGTGCTTTTACTGGCCTTGGTCAGGGACTTGGCCAGGTCTTGGTGTCCACTTTGATGCCTTTTGGGTCTGTGGCCTCCTTTGCAGTCAAAGAGAAACCTGAAATCACAACAAGCCCATAACTGACCTGCTAGAGGATGGGCTGGCAGTGGGATATCCGGATCCCAGCCAGGGATGGTTTGAGGAGTGTGGAGGGATACAGGGAAGAGCCAGGAGCTATTTCAGCTCCTTGTGCCACCCCCTTCCTCCTGCTGCTCCAGCTCGAGTGCTAACAAATGCTTTACAAGGAGCTGTGCCAGCGATGCTCGGAGCAGCAAGAGAGCAGATCCTCGCCCTGCCCCGTGCAAGGGGAATCCCTTTGATGCTAAAGTGGCTGCAGGGGGAAGGAAGAGGAGCGGGCACGGATGGGGCTGGTTCATTGCGCAGAGCCCTGGCAGGCTCTGCCATGTCCTTCTGCTGCTCTGCGCTGAGAGCTGTTGGGTTTGCAGGGGCCTTTCTGCCTCCTGGCTGGAAAAACACCGTCTTGCTCCACGTATCCATGACAAGATGGGTGTCCGACAGCTGGGGAGGAGGGCTGGTGCATCCCTACCCTTTAGAGGGGGATAAAGCTTGGAGTGGGGCAAAGATGCTCAGCACTTGGGATGCAGCAAGAAGGGCAAACCCCAGGGGTTTCTGAGCATCCTGTTGTGCTGCCTGCTTTCCTCCTGCCTTTGCAGGGTGAGGGGAAGCACTGGCAGCCTGACAGGGCTCTGGTGGCCTCTGGTAGCTGCTCGGGTGGTGGGAAGGCTCTGAGCAGTGATGCTGAGGCCGTTCGGTGTTGTCATCCGTGACGCAGATGTGTCACCGTCCCCCGGGGTCCCCATAAACAGCTTGTGCCAGCTCCTGCCGTCACCACAGTCTCTGTCTCCACAAGCACAGGTACCTGGGGCAGGAGCATCTGTGCTCACAGTGGGAAGCTGGCCGCAATCCATGGTGGATCCATGCTGGGGATGGAGATCCCTGCCTGACCCTGAAGGCTGTGGGGATTTGGGAAGGACACGCTGGCTCTGCCTTCCCCCTCAGAAGCTCCCCTGTCAGTGCAATGTGGGATGCTGAGAGTGCTGCAGTTTGGTCTCAATGCGAAGCTGCCTCTCCCAGGGTTTTCCTGGGGTGCCTGCAGACAGGATTCCTGGGATGAAGGCAAGGGGGGAATCCTGGGGAGCAGAAATCCTAGGGGATGTCGCTTTTCCCAAACCATCCTGGGAGATTGGGGTGGGGGAGAACCATGGAGCCTGGCTTAAACCTTGGACCAGGTCGCAGCAGGGGGAGCATCAGGGCTGAGCCCATCACCTTCACATCCCCTTGCACATGGACAAACGCCCCGGGGCACCCACAACTGCTCTCCAGGGACTGGTCCAGGCCCCTGCCTGACAGCGCATCCCTGATGCCACCCCAAGCACCAGCGCAGGGTTGTTCTGTGCCGGTGGGATGCTGCTCCCCTCCGCAGCGGCTCTGTCCCCCCTCTCCCAGGCTCTTCTCCTTCCCACAGAGCCCCCAAAGCAGCCGCTCAAACCCCCCCCCCACCTCTTGGTGCTTGCGATTCCTCGAGCCCGGGTGGTTGCCAGGGTTTCCCCCGGAGACCTCGCTCCTGCCTTTCCCTGCAGGAACGCTTTCCTAAGGAGTCTGGCGTGAAGAAACGGCCCCCTTGTTCTGCTGCGAGGAGCTGGCTCTTTTTCCAGTCACAAGGGTGAGCTGAAGCAAAACTTTCCATGCTGAGCAGGGACAGAGAGGGAGAAGGAACGAGCCCTCCTTTAACAAACAAATCCAATGCAACCAAACCAGAGCAAAAACCCCATCACAAAACAAAAGCCAGAGGAGCCGAGCGCTGCCTTTCCCCGTCTCCCTCCTCCTTGGAACAAGCCCGTTTGCTGAAGCGTGTTTTAAGCAGGAGCAGATGCCAGCGTTCCTTAGGCTGGGAGGGGTGAGCTGAGCCCGGGAGGGACATGGAGATAGAAACCAGATTGTGGCAGATAGACGTGTCTTTAATTGCAGCATGGGTTGTGTGCTGCGTGCTGGGAGCATCCTGCCCTGCCATGGGAGCATGCCCCAGCACCACTGCCTGCCCATCACTAGCTCCGGAGGCCAGAGCATCAGAGATAGGGTTTAAAAGCTGTCCCCATGAAGCCTCGCGATGCTGGGAGCTGGGGCTGTGAGGAAACCCCTGGTGAGAAGGAATGAGCATCAGGCGCTGCTGTTTGGGCTGGGAAATGGGCTGAGAGCCGCCGGTGGAGCTCTGGTTGGAAGCATTGCAGAGGGAGGGATTGATGCTTGGATCCGGGGTCTTTTGGGTCCTGTTCGTTCTGCAGCATCCTTTGCTTGACCGGAGGCAAGCATACAGCTTGTTCCTGCATCATTGTAGGGACCAGGTGAATCCAGGTCTGCCTGGGATACGGCTCTGGATGCACATAGGAATGATGGTCCCCATCCCACAGTGCTGGCTCTCCGCATACCACCAAAGCGATGGGACGGTCACTTAGTGAAGGGTTTGCTCCAGGGCACCTTGCAGAGCTACAAAGAACCCTTGGTTTCTTGACTCTGTTTTTTTAGGATGTATCTTTGATCCATGTGTTCCTTGGGTGGTTTTCTGGTGCAGACAGGCCCATCCACAGCCTCTTGATGGCTCTGGGGTCCTGGAGAAGCACCACAAACCTGAAGGGGTCAGGAATACTGAGCTGTACAAATGCTGGTGTCCTGGCACACCGGGATAGCATCCGAGATGCTGGCACAGCGCTAGGATCTGCCTGGATCTGCCTGGATCTGCCTGGATCTGCCAACTCTCAGTTGGCTTTTGCAATGAACCTGTTCTTCCCAAAATCTCGGCTATAGGTTCCTCCCATGAGCGGTGCCCTCTGTCCTGCTTCTGCTCCGTGATTCATCCCGAACGCTCTCGCTATTGCTCCCATTAGTCACACTGGCATCAATTCTTCTTTGACCAGACACTCATCAACTTTGCACAGCCTTACGAGTTAACATCCAAATGATGGGTTAAAGGGCACAACGCACACCCCCTATCATTCAAAAGGATGAACCTGCTTTTGCTCTTTAGCCCATGGAGAAAAGGAACAAAGCAGCCTAAGTGCAGCCAGGCTTCTCTTGGCTTATCCTGCAAGCTGGATCCCAGGGCCGAATCCTTCAGGACGGCTTCGGGAAGCAGCACGTGGTGTGCTGAGATGGGCTGACTTGAGGTGCTCATTTCCAAAGGATCCCCCAAGAGGAAACTCTCTCCTCTGAAGGTTTGTATCCGGATGCATCACTCTAAGAGAGGCTGGCTTGGGATGCAAGTGGCAGCGGGATGGATGCCCCAGGCCAGCATCTGCAGGGGTTCAGTCTTGTCGGGTCAAGGGAAAGCTTTGCCTGAGGGTTCAGGGGTTGTCCCTGAGGGCATGGAGCGAGTCCCATGGGGACAGCGCAGCCTCCCTCCTCCAGCCTCCTGGAGCGGGTCCAGCCCTGCGGCATGGGCAGCTCCAGGGACAACAGTGACAGCCTTAAAAGGGGTGACAAGAGCAGCACCCTGGCTCTGGTGCCAGCAGCACCACTCCAACAGCGACAGCTCCCCAAAGAGCTCCCTTCTTCCATCATCCTCTTCCCAACAGCAGCATCACAAGCGGCTCGGGGGGGCATCTCCCCTGCTCAAAGCCGGGCGATGGGATCCTTGTGCTGTCCCCAGTCACCCTCAGAGCAGGGGAATGGCGCGGCTGCGATGCCAGCAGCCACCTCAACTGCTCCCTGCAGCTTTGTGGATGCTGCTTGCGAGAGCTGATGTGGGAAAGATGAAAATCCCCCTTCCCCTGGAGGTGACGCCTCCTTGGGGGGAAGCAGCGCTCGCTGCAAGCTGGTGCTGTCGTTGCTGGAAAGCGGAGCCTCGAGCAAACTATTTATAAACCGAGTTTGCTTTAACTCCTGAAACTGAGCCATGGCTTGAGACAAATGGGAAAAGAAAGGCAAAGAAACGCAGGCAAAGAAACGCAGCACAAATAAATAGGCGAAAGCCTGAGGTTCTCCATGGGAGGCATCTGCAATGGGGCTGGGAAAGGGGCTTCTCAGCAGGCTTCCAGTGACCCAAGGGGCTAAGGACCAGTGGTGGCACTGCCTGAGGGATGGAGCTGGTGGGGTTTTGCCACTCCCTGGCTGGCGGTTAAGCCCCACATCCCCTCTGCCATGGTAATCACCATGGAGGGAGACACCGGGGAGCTCTGTTCAGCTGCTGCCTGGATTTGTGCTGGGGATTTAAGGGCTCACATCGCTCAGGTTTTACAAGCTTGTTTGTCACCATCACCTCCAATGCCAGCAGGGTCCGGTGACACTGCCCAGCCCATGCCATGTACTGCAGGGCACGGTCAGGATGGAGCAGGCTGCCCCGTGGTGCTCCTGCATCCTCTCGTGCTCCTGCATTTTGTGATGCTCCTGCATCCCATGGTGCTCCTGCATCCCACAGTGCTCCTGCATCCTCTTATGCTCCTGCATTTTGTGATGCTCCTGCATCCTATTGTGCTCCTTCATTTTGTGATGCTCCTGCATCCCATGGTGCTCCTGCATCCCTTGGTGTTCCTGCATTTCACGGTGCTCCTGTATCCCGTGGTGTTCCTGCATTTCATGATGCTCCTGCATCCCATAGTGCTCCTGCGTCCCATGGTGTTCCTGCACCCCTTGGTGTTCCTGCATTTCATGATGCTCCTGCATCCCATGCTGCTCCTGTATCCCATGGTGTTCCTGCATTTCATGATGCTCCTGCATCCCATAGTGCTCCTGTGTCCCACGATGCTCCTGCATCCATGTGGCACCAGGGGCTCCTTTCAGGCTGTTGATGGGTAACACCTCCCTTTCCTATCTTTTATTTTAAGCTCTTTCTCGTGCTCCATGGGACTCTCTGGCACGTGCTCGCCCGCAGTGTCTCCGTGTCTCCCTCCACATTCCCTCACTTCCAACCCCCCCTCCAGCCCACCTCGAAACACATTCATCTATTTCTGCTGCAGGAGAGAGCCCCTTCGGGAAGCAGGTCCATAAATCACCAGCAACACTTGGAAAGAAAAATCGTTATTGTGATGAATGGGGTTTTATTTCTCTTTTAAGAAGAGGGATCAGGAGAGACCAGGGCAAGGGAGAGCAGGGAAGAGGAGGTGTTGCATTTGCTATTTCTGACAAGTTAAGGGGGGTAGCGCTAATTGCATGAGAGCTGTTGCAAGAGAAAGGGAAAGAACCAAGTGTTTGCTGTGTATCCCTGCTGGGGGTGGAGGAACACAAGCCTCTGTGAAGGCTTTGCTAGGACTCTGCACCATCAGAACACTGTCACGTCTTGGGGATGCTGTCCTGGCCATGGCATGGTGCTTGGTGTTCAAATCCACCACCAAATGCTATTCCTGGCTCCACCCTGTGGGTAAGTTTCCCCTGGTCCCAGCAGCACCCACATCCCGCAGCATCCTGCAGCATCCTGCATCCCTCAGCATCAGTTTGGTCCTCGCTTGGCCTTGGGAAGCAGCTCCAGCAGCCAAGGGGAAGCTTTGCACAGAATGACTTCAGGCTTTGGCCCTGGGCTCCCAGGAATGGGAGCTTGTGTTAATTAAGCAGCAATGATCCAAGTGGCAGGGCATTTCCTGGGGATTAATGACTGGTTGGGAGGAGTTAATGATTTGGGATAGATCCAGAAATCCCATTTACCCCAGCCGTGCTGGGGCTCAGCACATGCTTTGTGCCAAGGTCAGCACCACTGTTTTCAGTCATTTTCTTATTATTAATAAGAATAATAAAGTGTTGGAAATGGATTCCCCTTCCCTCCTTGTTGATGCAGCTCCATGGCTGTGGGTAGGATATTGGGGGAATGAATGCCATTTGTATGGAGCCAGTGTGGTAAATGGAAGGAGCATCCCACCCCTTAGGATGTCCTCCCAGCACCTCCTGGGCATAGGAGGGTGTCAGGGACAATGTCCTGCAGCTTCCAGCCTGGATGCACCAGGATGGTGATGTGTGGAGGCTGCAGGTTGGACCCAACCTGCTGTAACGTTGTGCCTGGAGCAGATCAGGATCCGGCCTCTCAGCAGCTCTCTCTGATGGATGTTTTGGGGTTGTCATGGCAATGAAAGAGCCTGGTTAAGCCTTGGCTTTCCTTTCTTCCAAGGGAAGAAAGTTTGCAGACCTGACTGGAGGTGTGGGCACCTGTTGGGATGCCTGCACACACATACACACACATACACATGCACATACACATACACACACACACACTGGAGTAAATGCACACCGGATCCATCCCAAGGAGGTGAGAGCACCTCATCTCTGCTCTCATTGCCTTGTTGTGGTGGGTGATGCAGCTCCATGGGGTTGCAAGGCCAGTCCTGCCCTTTGTGATCACCAGTCATTCAGCTGCATGACACCCCTGTCCCCGTCCCTGCCTTCATCATGGGTTGGGATGATGGGTGCAGCACCGGGGTTGAGCTCTGGATGCTCCCGTGGGATGCAGAAGTGGAGGGATGCAGCCAACGTGATGCTTGGGGAAAGGGGATGCAGGATAGACCCTGATAGATGCTGTTGGTGGAAACCAGACCCTGGGCAATTCCTACCCTTGTCCTCCCCCCTCACCCCAGCCAAAAGAGAACAATCCCAGCACAAGCAGATGGCAATGTCATCACTACCATAGTGAAGAGCATCCAGGCCTGCAAGCATCACCATCTCCTAGCCAAGGGGATACCTCCGGCCAAGCAGCTCAGCTCTCTCTGAAGCCAAAAAGGAACTCGCTCAGCACTTTGGGAGCAGCCAGGGACCATCCATCTCCTTGTTGGGAGCAGCACTCATCTCCCAGCCCCTGCTGGAATCACAGTGCTGCTGCCCTGCTATAGCCTCTTCAGCTCCCGAGCTGCTCATCCCCCTCTCGCTCCTATTACTGGAAAGGTTTACGGCCGCTCGCTGTTTGTAATTAATCATTTAGGTTTAATTGCTGCTCCTCTGCCTGGCAGGGGCTCAGCAGGGATTTTATTCCTCTTGGCTGCTTCCCTCAGGTATGTTCCAGGACTTGCGACACGCTGAGAGCAGGCACCCGAGTTCCACAGGGTGCAGATCTGGGTGCTGCCCCTGCACTCAATAACCAGCACCCTGATGGAGCCCAGTGCAATGATGAGCTCCCACAGCAGCAGCAGCAGCAGGACTCCATGGGACCACAGGCTGTAGCAAGGGATGTGGGGATTGGGGCTCCTGGATCCCACTCACACCAAGCCTTGGGGATGAGGACACCCTGTGAGCCATGGGAACAACCCCATTGCCAAAGCAGCAGACCCAAGGAGCAGTGGAAAACGTGAGTGTGGAAACCAGGCAGTGAATTCAAGTTTGCAGCAAGATTGCTCCCGTCCCATTGAGGTTCCAGTGGCCTCTGGCTCCTTGGGAGATTTTTCATGGGAATTAAAGTGATTTTGCAGGTAAAATGGCTTTGTCCCCGGAGGTTTTCCCCTGCATGGGCTCTTCCCCAGCCATTCCCAGCCATCCACATCCCATGCGGACAGTGCATCCTTTGCTGCCACAGGGAGAGCGCTGCAGCCTGGGACACTGCTGCCAGTGCTGCCTGCACCTTGCCTGCACTTTGAAGCTGAATAATTGAAAGCTCATGCAACAGCCACAAATATTTAATAGCTTGTTCATCAAAGATTTAGCCCCGTTAAAGCTGTCATTCCACAGGGCTGGCAGGGCTGCAGGCAAGGCAGCAGGAGGCACGGAGCGGGCAACAAGGAGGAGATGCTCTGGCAAGAGGCAGCCTCTTCATCTGCTCTGCTCCAACACCCCCTGTCCCGCAGAGGCCATTGCATGGACTCAGCTGCTTCAACTGGATCCCTTGCTCCTGGCTCAAAGCATCCCAGGGCCAACACGGTGGTGGCTGCACTGGTGGCCAGTGCCTAGCCTGGGAGCAGTCCCTTCTGTGCTGGCATAGCCATGGCACAGGGATGGACACGAGCCCAGCTGCCTGCACTCATTGCTTTGCTCCTTGGGTGCCAAGCAGGCAGCGGGATGGCTGGGAAGCCTGGAGCCTCCACAGCCACCAGCAGCAATGGCAGGAGGAGATACAAAAGGCCGTCCTACTTAACAGGGTTTACATAAGGAGACGTCTCCATGGTAGGAGGGAAAACAGGCAGGGTTTGGAAGCGGTGCTTGGAGCACTGTCTTTGGAGGGGCATCCCTGGGGTTGGGTGAGGTGGCACTGGGCGAGGGAGTCCATTCACCCACCGCTGTGTCCCCAGGGCAGCAAGAGCAGCCCGTAAGAGCATCCCCCAGACAGTGCTACCCTTCTGCTGGGGCTGCATGGGCCAGCCAGGTGCCCTCCCTCCCACCTGCTCTCCCAGAGGCTCCTCATCTCTAATTAACACTCTCATTAATTAACAGACTTAATGGCCTCTTTGCATTCCACCACCAGCCTGGTCCTTGCTGCTGGTCCCTGAGATGCTGCACTGATTGCAGGTGATGCTCTGCTGGGGTAGGGGGGTGCTTCGTGCGGATGGGGCTATGGGTGGGCTCTCCCCCTCAGCACCCTGCACCGGGAGCACCCGGTGCCGGATCCCTGCCTGGCCCCCGGTGACCCGCTGGCCTGGGAGCACAGCACCTCCGCCAGTGCCCGCAGGTTCGCTCCCCTTATGGAAAGGCATGTCCCGAGCGGCTCGTGGATGTGTTTATTCCTGGCAGCCCTTGGCGGGTGGCAGCGAGCAGGATTAGCTGCTGAGGAGCAGGCACCTGCTGCCAAGTTCCCCGAGAGGCACTGACTGCAGCAGGGCTCGCTGGAGGGATGCTCTGTGTCAGCAGGGACCATGCCTTGGCTGGCCTTCGGCTCCCCGTCTCCCAGGGATCCGCTGCTCCTGGGAGGAGCGGAGCTTCACAAAGGGAAGGAAAGGGGAGAGAATTCCTCATTTCCACTCTGGGAAACGCACCAGGCTTCCTCTCAGTTCGGCTCGGACAGGAGCACCGGTGAGGCAGCACTTGTGGGAGGGTGTCCTCTGAAGAGGGACGGAGTGGCAAAGGACATGGAGAGGCCTGGCACTGAACTGTGATGGGTCCCAACACTGCCCTCGCTGGGGTTCAATCTCTGCCAGCGTCTGGATCTTCCCAAGGGGGCCTTGGGGATGCTGGGAAGCGCTCAGGAGAAGTAAAAGCTGGCTGCCCTGGTGGGAAAGCAGCTTAATGTCCTGGTGGCCTTGGAGCTGGCTGAGGCACAGGGCCAGGGAAGGGCAGCAGACCTTCCCTCCGCAGGTAGCACAAGTCGGATGCGTGCACCATGGACACTGCCTCTGCCCATCCTCAACCCTCCGTCCTCAGGGTACCCACAGCCCCTGCAGCTCTCCGGCCATGCTGCCGTCTCTTTGGTTGGGCACTTGTGCCTCTGTCTCTCCACATCCATCACTTTGCCCATTTCTGTCTGGTTTATGCCCAACTGCCTTCATTATTCGTTTTCCTCGCAGCATCTCATTATCTGTATCCCTTGCCCACCATTTGCCTGCCCTGGTGCTGGCTTAGGGCTGAAGGGGACATTTAGGGGATGCTTCTTCCCTGTCCAAATGCTCTCCTAACCTTATCCAGGGTATCCTCAGCTTCCAGACAGAAGCAGCCAATAACCCTCCCTTGGATCTGTCCTGAACACCTGGTGATGGATGCAAAAGCCCATCTGCGCCCAGGCAGCCAGCTCAGCCCCATCCTGGTGACCGGATAGGACCAGGTGGATGTCCACGAGCTGCAGCTCTGTGAGGCTTGGAGCTGCTGCCTTATGTGGAAGCCCATCCCCACTAAGAGCAGGGCTGAGAGCCACCAGGTCCTTGCCACAGAGCCCATCACAGGGTCATTGGTCCCTCAGCCCTGAGCCGAACCCATCCCTTGGAGAGCTGGAACCTGTCCATATCCTCGCCATGAGCCCCCCCCCCAGCCTTCCCCCATCACCCAGCAATCCACAGCTATTCCTGCTTGGAAGTTGTGTCCCAGTTTTTCTCGCTGTTTACATTCGGTTGCCTTCAAGGGTTTGCTTTGCTCCATGTTTTAATGTAATTCCCCCAGCCATCAGCCCAGGATGCAGCTCCTGCCATCGCGTT